TCTCATGGGGGGGGGGGGTGTTTGTATGTGCACATGGCACAGACACAGGAGCATGCATGGGCTTTGGTGTGGCACAGTGATTAAGTACTTGTTTCTTTGTGCTGTTGTCTTAGGTGCATGTCTCCATTCACTATGGGAGTGGTAATGTGAACCTGTGTTGGTGTCAGAATGAGTCTATGAGTGTGTGTGAGACAAGATGACTGTGCATGTGAGTGTATGTGGGCTGGACCTCCCAGACCCCCTGGCCATCCTGCCCAGGCTGCTGTCTCCATCCCTGCTGCCCACATCCCCCAGGCTTGGCGCCCAGGCCAGTGGGCGGGTGTCACTGGGAGGTCACTCTCACCGCTATGGGTGACTCACTGGGAGGCAGGAAGGAGAGGATCCTGCCTCCCCCGGCCCAGGACACACCCCTTTTGCCCTGAAAGTCCTGGCCCCAAGAGGCCAGGCAGGATGGGCTGGGCTGGGATGCTCTTAGCCAGGCTCTCATGGCCATGGAGTTGGGCTGACCCTCTGAGCTCCTTCAGGTGTCCAGGAGAGCAGCACCCCCACCTTTCCATCCTGGAAAGTGAGGGCAGCTGGGTCTGGTGTGTGAGCTCAGGGCCCCAAGGCTGGATGTCAGGTTGGAATGTGAGTGTGACAGAGACTAAGGTCCCAGCCTCTCAGTCACTCCATTCATTCCCCCTGCACCTCTTCTGGAGCCCATAGCTGAGGCATACCTGGCCCTGCCCCTCAAAGCACCTTTTATTGTGTGGGAGACAGACATGACTATAATAACCAAGTCAAGTGCCAGGCAGAGCTGGAGCAGAGGGTGATAACGCAGGAGAGGGAACAGGGGTGGTTGGGATATGAGGAGAAACTGGCACCCAAAGGATAAGATCTGAATGTACAGAGATGGGCACAGGGCTCTGAAGTGGAGGGAATGGCATGAATAAAGCCCCGAGGCAGAGGATGTGGCTCCTTTGTAGTGGGAGATGAGTCCTGGGGCGTGGAAAATGCAGAGGGATGGGCTGAAGGAAGGCTCATTCTGGACCACAAGAGCCTTAAATGTCCCAGCAAGGAAGCCAGCCATGAGCAGGGGTGTGACTATGCAAGGGCTCTGCTTGCGGTGGGTTCTGGGGAAGGGGATGCTGGGATGTGAACAAACAGAAGAAAAGCAGGGGGCCAAGGAGGAATCTGGGTGGCAGGGCTTGAAGCAAGAGAGGGGCAGAGGGCATGGGGAGGAGGGGAGACGGATTCATGAGACAGTACAAAGGCCAGAACTGGGCAGGGTGGGAACAGGAGGGATGGGCCTCCAGGCTCAGTTATGCGTGACCAGGGCAGGCAGGGATCCCTAGTAGTCCAAGGTCAGAGGAGATGGGCAGAAGGATGCTGATTTCTGACAGTGTCGCCTGGGTAGAGGTGCCCAAGAGAGGTCCCGGGGAGCTGTAGCTACAAGTGTGGGCATTGTTGGCAGTGGTGAGATGTGGACACTAGGATGGCAAAGCAGAGAGAGGGAAGGATGGGGAGAGCCCAGAGAGGGCTGAGGCCCGAATCAAAGGGGGGGATTTAGAAGAAGAGGAAGTGTCAGGTAGAGACCGCATTCCAGGAAAGGCCCCGAAAGCCAGAGGAGAAAAGCCTATTCCATCCATACCAGTTGCCACTACTTATGAACTACCCTCTGTGTACCAGGCACTGTGCTAAGCATTTGTACAGACATTTCCTCATTTACTAGACACAGCATTCCTACAGACGGGGACACTGAGGCACAGGGAGGGGAAGTAACTTCTCAGGGCCACACAATTGGCACATGGCCTCCTAGCTAGGATTTAAGCCCAAGGCTTAGAGCTCCAGAAGCCAGCGCGGGCAGAAGGATTTGGGGGATCCTACAGGGCAGTTTCTGTGTGTTTACGATGTGTTTACAAAAACCAGGTTCTCAAGGACAGAGCCAGTGGGTGGCAAGGAAGTAGGAAGGAGGGGGGAAGACAGGATGTGGGTGAGGGTCTGGGCCTGGGTGCTGGATGCTGGGGGTGGGGTTGGCCTGAGCCCTGGCCCACCTCCTCTCCCCAGTGGTGTGCCCTCTGCCCTGCATGAATGGCGGCCAGTGCTCCTCCCGAAACCAGTGCCTGTGTCCTCCGGACTTCACGGGTCGCTTCTGCCAGGTGCCTGCAGGAGGAGCTGGCGGGGGCACGGGCGGCTCGGGCCCTGGGCTGGGCCGGGCTGGAGCCCTGTCCACCGGCGCGCTGCCGCCCCTGGCTCCGGAGAGCGAGCCGGTGGCCAGCAAGCACGCCATCTACGCCGTCCAGGTGATCGCCGACCCTCCCGGGCCCGGGGAGGGGGCCCCTGCCCAGCATGCGGCCTTCCTGGTGCCCCTAGGGCCAGGACAGATCTCAGCAGAAGGTACCGGGCGACAGGACAGACCTGGGGAGGCCGAAGTGGGCGGGCGCTAGGGTGGTGGGACGGGCAGAGGCGAGCCCCGAGGAGCTCCTGGCTGCCAGCCCCCCAACGGGGCAGCCCTGAGGCCACCGTGCCCCGCCCCCAGTGCAGGCCCCGCCCCCCGTGGTGAACGTGCGCGTCCACCACCCACCCGAGGCCTCTGTCCAAGTGCACCGCATTGAGGGGTTGAATGCCGAGGGCCCAGCCCCTTCCCAGCACCTGCTGCAGCACCCCAAGCCCCAGCACCCCCGACCACCCACCCAGAAGCCTCTGGGCCGCTGCTTCCAGGACACGCTGCCCAAGCAGGCCGTGAGTGAATCCACAGACCCCGCTGGACCTGGACCCGCCCTGCGGTCTCTCAGGGTTGCCTTGTGCCAGTTCACGGGGTTGCTCAAAACTGGGGGTCTGCGGCCTGAGGAGGGAGGTTGGGTGGGGGCTGAGCGCCCTGTGACCTGGTTCATACTCCTCCCCTTAGTGTGGCAGCAATCCCCTCCCAGGCCTCACAAAGCAGGAGGACTGCTGCGGGAGCATCGGTACTGCCTGGGGCCAGAGCAAGTGCCACAAGTGCCCCCAGCTGCAGTGTGAGTGCCTAGGCTCAGGGATACCCCCTACTTCAGGGTGGACCCACCCACACCCCTCCTAGCCCACCAAATTCCCCTACATCCCACTCTGCCCCTCTCCTGTGCCCTCCCTGCCCTCCCTGCAGGCCCTCAGTGCCCTCCCCCGCCACACTCTCCTCTTTCTGCAGACACAGGGGTGCAGAAGCCAGGGCCTGTACGTGGGGAAGTGGGTGCTGACTGCCCCCAGGGCTACAAGAGACTCAACAGCACCCACTGCCAGGGTATGGCCAGCCAGGAGATTCTGTGGGCTGGAGGGGCAGGCCAGTTGTCCCTGGGGGAGGTACCAAGGCATGCAAGGGAGGAGAGGGGGCTGGGCAGGACCTTGAGGGTCTTGGAGCAGCTTGCTGTCACCCTATGGCCCCAGACTAGAGGGACCAAACTCCCACTTACCACAGACATCAATGAGTGCGCAATGCCCGGCATGTGTCGCCATGGTGACTGCCTCAACAACCCTGGCTCCTATCGCTGCGTCTGCCCACCTGGCCATAGCTTGGGCCCTTCCCGCACACAGTGCATTGGTGAGATTGGGGGCTTGGGTTCCTGGGAGGTCACGAGGCATGGGCTGGAGGGGTAAGGCTACAAGCAGCAGGGTCAGAGGTCAGAGTGGGATCAAGAGTTGAATGCAGGAGGAACAAGGCCCAGAGCAGTGGGGTCAAAAATCAGGGAAGGTAAAGAGTCACCTAAGATCTGGGGTTAGAGGTCACATGGGGTCAGGGACTATATGGAGTCAGGGTCATAGAAGACTATGGACTTGATGGGTAGGAGGGATAAAGTCTAGAACAGCTAGAATTGGGTCAATGGGGTCAGTGGTCACAGAGGTTTCAGAGGTCACATGAGGTCAGAGTAACAGGTTCAGGAGTCACATAAATTCAGGGTCATATGGGGTTAGGGGTTACATGAGGATCAAGGGTTATCTGCCAGAGAAGCCAGGTCTGGAGCAGCTGGGAAGAGAGACATGGCAGTGTTTAGGCCCAGATGCCAATGCCCATCACTGGCCCCTGCAGCAGACAAGCCAGAAGAGAAGAGCCTGTGTTTCCGCCTGGTGAGCCCTGAGCACCAGTGCCAGCACCCGCTGACCACGCGCCTCACCCGCCAGCTCTGCTGCTGCAGTGTCGGCAAGGCCTGGGGAGCGAGGTGTCAGCGCTGCCCCGCTGATGGCACCGGTGAGCCTGGGGCCTGTGGGGCTAGGGCTGGCTAGCTGTGTGCCTGCCCAGGAAATAGCCACTTCTTTACCCCTTGCTCTGGCCACAGCTGCCTTCAAGGAGATCTGTCCTGCTGGAAAGGGGTACCACATCCTCACTTCCCACCAGACACTCACCATTCAGGGTGAAAGTGACTTTTCCCTTTTCCTGCACCCGGACGGGCCACCCAAGCCCCAGCAGCTGCCTGAGAGCCCCAGCCGGGGGCCACCACCTGAGAACACAGAGGAAGAGAGAGGTCTGACCTGACCCTTTCCATTCTTTGACAGATGCTGAACCCCTAGCAAGACCTAACCCCTTGATTCCTAATCCACAGACATGACCTCAGAGTCTAACCTCTAACTTCTAATCCCTGTCCTAACCACTGACCCCTAGAGCTGACCCTCTCACCCTCAGCAAGATTGTAACCCAAGGATTTAACCCCTGATGGGCAGGATTTGACCATCCACTTCCCTCCAGATCTGTTCCTCTGACCCCAGAACCCCTTTGATTTCTAGACCAGGGCATTGATTCAGCCCAAATGCTGGCCCTAGATGTGACCTTCTGACCCTTGACCCAGGGATTTGACCCTAGCTATAACCTCCTAAGCTCTGTTCTATAACCCAAGGACCTTGACCAACCAATCACTCCCCATACCTGTTCCCCTGACCTGTGATATAAACCCTCCCTGACCCCAGGATCTAACCCTTGACACTCGACCCAGAGACATGATTGTTGAACCCTTAGAGACCCTGACCACAAATACCCGACCGCAGATCACAGACTTGACTCCCTTCCCCCAGCTCAACACTTAATGGCACCATCTTCTTCCCTCTTAGGGGTGAGCACAGACTCAGTGAGTATGAGAACCCAGGCGGGAGGGACAGGGAGGCAAAGAAGACACAGAGGGCTCATGCTGCTGTCACCTGCAGCCAGTGATCGAGGAACAGTCAGCACAGCAGAGTCACCCGACCGCCACCACATCTCCTGCCAGGCCCTACCCTGGTGAGATGGGCACCGCAGGGACCAGTCCTCAAGGGCTGTCACTGCTGGGGGAAGTTGACAGCCTAGTCACCAGGGGGCGGTGAAGCTGGGTGTAAAGTTCCCAGCTGATGGCCTGTGGAGAGAGGGGCCACTCTTCTGCCCTCCTCACCCTCTGATGGGCGTGTGCTGCTGCCCCCAGAGCTGATCTCCCGGCCCTCTCCCTCCACTGTACGCTGGTTCCTGCCGGACTTGCCCCCATTAGAGATCGCCCCTACTCAGGTCACAGGTAAGACCTGCCCACCTAGGCCACACCCTGGGTAAACCATGTCCCCTAGCTCAGTTTTCCTCCTTTCCTACCTTCCTCCAATCATTCTGGAGATATAACACTTACCTGGGGCTTACTGTGTGCCAGGCCCTGGGGACCCCTCCATGTGCAGCAGAGACCCTACTCTACCCTCAAATGATCTGGGTATTATGGTGGTCAGCCCAGCCTGAAAGCATTTATTCAAAAAAAACATTTATTGAGCACCTACTATGTGCCAGACACTGTTTAAGTGCTAGGATATAGTAGTAAACAAAAGAGACAAAAATTCCCTGTCCTTGCAGAGTAGGCAGACAACGAACAGATTAATGAGAAAAATCTAGTGTGTCTCATAAATGCTATGAAAAAAATAAACCAGAGAAGAAAGGAAGTCTGGGGGTTGTGATAATATGTAGGGTGGAAATGAGAGAAGGCTTTCTGAGCAGGGCTTTAAAGATTGTTAGAAATTAAAGAGGAGAAGGTTGGTGAAAAAACATTCCAAGTGAAGTTAAGTTTGGGCAAAGCCAATGGAAACATGAAACTGGTGGAAGAGGGAGAAACCACACACAGATCAGAGTTTCTGAACCAGAGCAGGGCCGGCACAGGGAGCCTTGTTAAGAGGCTTGGGTTTGATCCCAAAGGCTGTGGGAAGTGTCTGCAGGGTTTGGGGCATCATAATTGCTAGCTATGGCTGAGCAGTCGCCCTGTGCTGGGCACTGACTGAAGAGTTCTACATACTAAATATCATTTAGCCTCTCATAGTCTGTGAAATGGACACCGTTGGCCTCATTTTCCAATGAGAAAACTGAGGCTCAGAGAGGTTCAGTAACTTGCCCCAGGTCACACAGCCAAACTAGATTCAAGCCCATGTCTTTGTGAATTCCAAAGCCACAAGGGAGCTGCCAGCCTGACTGAAACCCAGAGGCTAGATTCACTCCTAGGGTGAGGGCTTGGGTGGAAGATGGCTGCCCTGGAGGCCTGCACTGGCTAGGACAACCCAGTGACAGCCATGGGGATGTGGGAATATGAGGAAGAGGCACCTGGGGAGGGTTCTCAGAGGAGGAGGTGTTGAGAATGCCTAAGGGGAGGCACTGGAGGCGAAGAGAACAGCCTGCCAAAGCCCACTGGCCAGGAGTGTTTGGAGCAGGGTAGAGTTCAGCATCAAGGCCTAGGCTGCATGAA